CCGTTCCGCATCAACTCGGACCCCAAAGGCACGCGTCTGAAACCCATCGTCTACTACGCCGCCGAGGACTTCTTCGCCGTCGATGGAGCGCAGAACAGGGAATTTCGCAAAAAGTACGTTGAGCGGTACGACAAGTCGATGATGTTCCGCAAGATGATTCTCGAGCTGACGCTCTTCTGGATCGGCGGCTGCACGGCGTACATTGGCTACGTGGCCGGCATCATCTGGAACCTGGAGTTTGAACGCGCGTTTGGCACAACGTTGGGCGTCTTGTTTGGGTGGATTATAATCTGGGGTGTCACTGCGAGATTTTGGATCGAGTACGCGATCAAGCGTGAGCAAAAATGGTGGAAAGAGAACAAGGCCGAAAGAAATGCGGCCAAGCTTCAATGAGCCTAGTGTTTAATCACAGTTGAGCCCTCCCTCGAGTGAGTGAGAGAGAGACGCACACACAGAGAAAGAGTCAGAAAGAGAGATCGATGAAGAGAGAGGCTTTCACTGAGGGTGGAGGGAGTGGCTCATTACTGTTACCTAGTGTTAATAATGGCACTGCCAAGATCATGTACTTATGGAGGACGCATGGGTTCTGACTGACAAGACAAAGGCATGAGAGCCTGGATACCCAGGAAAAGGAAGATACCGAGAAGGCGGATTTTTGCGATTAATAAGTAAATCATTTCTTGCTTTTAGACATTGTTCAGTGGTCTCATCCGTAGTGTGAAGTGTGTGGATATGATCTGATTAGATCTCAATAAGAAAGTAGTTGATAACTCTCATGAATAGCATCGACATCGAGTCAACGTCTGCCGACGGGAGGCGGCATTCGTCCATCCACGGCCCCTCATTTCAACCGCAAAATGAGCAGAATGGCAAAGAGGCCACCTCTCTCACCTCGAAACAGCGAAGGGCGGCCTTCCTAGAAAGCCAAGCCTGGCCCAGGCTCCCCAAGTTCGTGACAGCATGGGCCGCGAGGCGCACAGCGGAAGAGAGTTTTGGGATCCGGGAGGCGAAAGGTTTCTGTGGATGTGTGTGAGAGAGATGGTGTGGTGTCTCGTGGGATGTCGCGATGTGGTCGAGGCAGCTCGAGGCCCGCGGGACGGCGGTCGGGTCCTTATTTCTGATTTTCTGGGGGAAGCTCTGGACTCCTGTTCGAATGAGGCGAAGAAAATTGGAAGATCTCGCAACCATTAGTGGGTACGTACTCAGAGTTGTGAATGTTTCTTGGTGGTGCTGCACAAATGTGAGTTGTGCATTTTTATGTAATGCTATCCGCCCATATTCCTCATCGTCGAGAATTCGCAAGTCTGAGCGTCTCTTTCATCAGTGCTGGCATTGGGGATGAACATGCTTATGCGCGCCACGATATACCGCCAGATCATTGACAGCAGGCATAATCATCAAATCGATTATGCGCCTCACCTCAGAATCTCCAGCTCACTCATAGCATCGAACGTTTATAGACACTCGGTTTCATCGTGAGCCAGCAGGCTGTTCCACCCACAAACTACAATAGACGAAAATGCGAAGCGACGAAAGAGGTATTCAGATGAGATACTTGAGGATAGAAATGAAGTTGAATCGGTGTTTGAGATTTAAAGTCATCTTGAGTCTCACTCCATTCTCATCTTTACTCAGAAGAGGGGTCTCACTCAGCTCTCACTCTTCTCAGCCGCATCGGATGGAACACCCCGATTCAATCTTCTTCATCCAAAAAAGCCTCACACATTTCTCCATCCCACAGCTCACACAAACTTCAGGCAATTCGCCTCAACTGAAGACCTCATTCAATGAAAAGCTTGACTCGTCACAAAACCTGCTCAACTCATAAGATTCACTATCAAACATTGTAATTTACTCACGACAAGCAATCCACCGTCAATCGCCCCCACTCCGTTGAACAACCACGACTCCAACCCACATTGCTCCCGCGACCAGCTTTGCCCGTCGATGAGACCGAACTCGGCGGTGCCTCCAATCCCCGATTGTACCCGGGGCCCAGTCCGGATTCACTCCCCCGTCCAATCCAAAGACGCAGCAGACACACTTTCCAGAGTAAATTACCTAGTTCGCTTAGATTTCTCAAAGCCCGCCAGGCTCAGATTCGATTAGCGGGAACAGTGTTCTTGCCAATTGAATCGAGAAAGACGGCGCCAATGGGCCCGATGTGACGGCTCCTAGAGGCTTTCTCGCTTCGCCAAAAACTATCACTCGCTGTACCTTTCTGCTGGGACCTCGAGACGAGAAATGCGACGTAGTCGTAGTAGGTTAACGTGGGGGCGAACCGAACATCGTAGAGCTTATTTCACTAATACGCAGTACCTAGTCCCAGAACTCACTCATAATTCGTAACCAATTCCACAAAACTTCACTGTGGCCTTCCGGATGGGGTATTCAACCATATTTCGCGCGGAACAATCCGTCATCTATCGCCAAGATGATTTGCTCATGAGATCTCTCTTGCTTCCCCCCCTCACCCTTTACACACCTCCATTCCAGCCCAGTTCCAATAACCTTAGTAGGCTAAAATCTAAAAATCATCGTTAGCCTTTTCCCTCCCGTTTTAATCTGCGCATCGGCTACGCCCTACCCTCCAATGACACCGCCCTAAAGACGACCGACGAGAGTTCAGCTCACTCATCCGGCACCACCCTCCATCTCTTTCTTCCTCGAACCAAAATCAGACACTCCAGAAAGTAAACCTTTTGCAGCCTTCTGAAACTCATCTCATCATCCCCAGCAAGGGACAAGGTGACCCCTCCTACCTCTCGTCCGCTGCCCGCCATCCACCGTCTACGCGATTACATCCCGCAAAATGAATCCCGAAAAGGAACTCCTTCCCGCCACCACCGCCGGCCCCGCGCCGGGATCCCAAACGCCCGGTCCCGATCCCGACGTCGAAGCCTCTCATCCCGCTCCCGTCGCCGTACCCGATGAATCTCACCACCGCGCCGGCGACGACGATGCCCTCGCCATGGTCGGGATCCACAGCCAGCCCTACGACCCCGCCGTCGCCGCCCGCGCCGTTCGGAAGATTGACTGGTTCCTCATCCCCGCCATGATCTTTGGATGTTCGTCACACTCTCTTACTTGAACATCCTAAACTTTTCCTCACCCACTTCACTACTTCCCACAAACCCGTCTCTAACACGCAACAGACGGCCTAGTCTACTATGACAAAGCAATCCTAGGCTCAGCAGTCCTCTTCGGCATGACAACAGACCTCCACCTCTCCGTTCCCCTCCCCTCCGGCACAGTTGACACATCCCGTCTTTCCTGGGCAACCTCCCTCTTCTACTTCGGCATGCTAGCAGGCCTCTACCCAATGACCTACGCCCTCCAACGCTATCCCATAGGCCGCACCCTCGGCACAATCGTCATCCTCTGGTCCGGAATCTGCATGCTCACCGCAGCCGTAACCTCCCACGCCGGCCTCTACGCCCAACGCTTCTTCCTCGGCTTCGTCGAGTCCGTCATCCCCACGGGCTTCATGTGCATCGTCTCGGGGAACTACACCCAGGCAGAGCAATCGCTCCGCCAGAGCTGGTGGTTCTCCTCCACGGGTCTCTTCACCATCATCGGCGGCGCCCTAAACTACGCCTTCGCCCAGGTGAAGGGAGGCGACCTCCGCCCGTGGCAGTATATCTACCTCCTCGCAGGCTGTCTCACATTCCTCTTCGGCCTAGCCTGCTTCCTCCTCCCAGACTCCCCCGTCTCAGCATGGTTCCTCACGCACCAAGAGCGCTTCGCGGCCGTAGAACGCCTCCGACACGGCCAAACCGGCATCCGCTGCACGAAATTCAAACCGTACCAGCTCCGCGAAGCCCTCCTCGACGCCAAAACCTGGCTCATCGCCCTGATGATGGCCTCAGCCTACACAATGAACGGCGCTGTCTCCGGCTTCGGCCCCCTCATCGTCTCGACGTTCGGCTGGACCTCGCTCGAATCGATCCTCTTCCAATTTCCCCTGGGTGGCCTCTGCTTCATCGTCATCCTGGCGACCGGCTACCTCGGCACCCGCTACGCCAACATCCGCATCCTCATGCTCGTAACGTGCTGCCTGCCCGTGATAGCAGGCTGCGCCATCATCTGGCGCTCCTCCTGGACGCACCACGCCGCCGCGCCAGTTGTAGGCTACTCCATCACGGGCTTCTTCGGCGGTGTAGTGAGCCTCATCATCACGCTCGGTATGTCCAATGTGGCAGGCCATACGAAAAAGAGCTTCATGGCGGGGACAATCTTTGCCGCCTACTGCGTCGGCAACATCGTCGGCCCGCAACTCGTAAAGTCGCAGAGCAAAGCATCGCATTACCCGGAGCTGTGGCTTGGCCTCATTATTTGTTATGTGATTTGCATCCTCGCGTCCGGAGCGTTGTACTACGTGCTCTGGAAGGAAAATAAGCGCCGCGATGCGCTTCCTGTTGATGAGGAGGAGCGGGCCAAGCTTGCCTTTCAGGATTTGACGGATAAGGAGAATCCCTACTTTCGCTATGTGTACTGAGAGGTCGAAAGTCTATCTTGCATTTCCAAGATACCTCAGAACGCGTGTTTGGATTGTAATCGAGTCCTAAAACTCAATTGACAGAGGAGCAAGAACACCGATGGGCAGTAGAAAGGCCCCCGCACTAACGCTAATGAAGAGTCAAACGACGAAGCGAACCAAATATCTGCTTGAGATGCTTCAAAATGTCTTCCCGATCGATTCATACATCGGGGCGTCATGAATTATGCAACATGAACCGCACATCTCGTCAAGGAGATGGCCATCTAGCTAGAAATACAACCATGATTAACCATGCGCCAGAACCGGAGCCTTCCGTCCCAGTGCTTTTTGGCCGCGGTTTGCCCCATTCCGTTCGTCATGATAGTTGGCCCGAAAGATGGTGGGCAGAGAAGTAAATACGATCAAATTCCCAGTCATGCTATCCGAGCATGTGGGCCGGTTACGCCGAACCATCGAAAACGCCAGTCTTTATGCATATGTCTTGTCGCATTCGAAAACAATACGCCGGAAAACTTGTCCTTGAAAATCATGACTCCGTATACCCTGTATATCTCCCAAAAGCGACATCCGCTTTCTTGGTTTTGGTGTAAATGGCAAACGTGCTCATCTGGGCGACCTTGGAGGGTTGCTTGGTAGCTCTGCCGGCATATTCTCCTCCCCTAGTCCATCATTCAATTCTACCGGCGAGTGTATGGTGCCGGGCACCGGTGCTAGCGGAGGTGGTGGTTGCTGCGGCGGGTATCCGGGTCCTACAGTTGCACTGCCCGGTGGTGGTGTTGGGTAAACCCCTGGTAGATCCGCCTTGCTGGCCGGCATGGGTTGAACCATGGGGAACTGGGGGGAGCCCATCATGCTGCCAGACTGACCCGTGTGCTGAGGTCCGATGGGCACCTGCTGCTGGTACATTCCGTAGTTCTGGGCCGGCCAGACGCCGCCTTCGGGGGGCGGCTGTTGTTGAGGAGGCTGTGGTGGCCAATTGCTGCCGGGGAAATACGCCGGTTGGAAGCCATGCGGCGGCACAGAGTTCGGTGGAGACGGGTTCGTTTGCGAGTGTGGTGATTGTGCGTACGGCTGGCCGTAGTAGGCGTATGCGTGGGGGTGTTGAGGAGGTGGGTATTGGTGGTTCCAGTGGATGTACGTCGGGACGGCGGAAGTCATTTGCGGAGAGGCTACCATCTTGTCCCCTTCAGCCTGAATAGTCTTTTGCGAATCGGTAGTGCTGGGTGCCTTTTCCAAGTTCGCTTTACGTAGCGCATGAAGAGCGCGGCCTGCCATGATCAGCCAATCGTCCTACTTGTCAAGGGTACTCTACTAGCTAAGTAGTACTAAGAGCGAAACGTACCAAAGACACTGATGGTGACGATAAAGAGCACAAAGTTGACAACGGAGGTAGCTGTCCCGGCAAACGTTGCGGCTACGAAGCCATCCGCAAACGGCTCGACGTTCATCTTATAGTACACTTCATACTTGGGACCGAACGTCACGATGAAGGCATCGAGGGAGTCGAGATCATCTGCATGACTGGCAAGCAGGGCCATGGTGATCAACCAGAAGACGACGGTGAGTAGCTCAAGGCCCCTGTGGAAACAAGTCAGTCGAAGTGCTTCTCGAAACTCGTGCTGGGATTTCCTACAGATGCACCCAGCAGTTGTACATGACGGGAATGAACATGACGGCTACTCCGAGCCATGTCAGATAGGAGAAGGTCCAGGCGAAAGCGAACCATGAGAATGCTATGCGCAACATTAGTAATGAGACACAAGAGTGGGAAGAGGCGGGGATGGCAGTGTTACGTACGGAAACCCTCTGTACCGCTGAAGGACTGCATCGTAAAACGCAAACAGTCAGTAAAGATGAACCAAAAGGGCGGAATCCAAGCAAAGGCCAGATCAAAGGCCAAGGGATTTCCCAGCATACCGTTATTCTGCGATAGCCCGTGGCTTTCTGCATAGTGGTGAGCCCAAAAACTGTTATCCCCAGCGTCGCAATGGCGAGGACCTAAAATTCCACAACCGTCAACATGACATTTCGAACAGTAGGCTATCGCTCAGGTCGATTCACGGGAACCGATCTTGTTGGTGTAGCTGGGCCGGAAAGTGGTGTCCTTACGAGCTGTAGAATCCTGACGCCTGCGATCCAAACCGGCATGGCCGGAACATGAGAGCGATTCCTCCCATCTTTGGGCCAAATGTTCTTGGTCAAAAAAGACATGGACGAGGATGCGAGGGGTTCAGACCCCTTGGGTTCGGATTCGGGAGACTGAGTCCTCGTCGGCTGACCCGGTGCCTCACGAGGAGACGGGGCGTTATCGGGCCGTCGTGATGGCGGATTAGAGGCGACAGGTTGAAGATTGGCAAGCGGAATCGAATTGGAGTCGACCGGATCTTCGGTCACCACGTCGTCCCTCGACGGGGAGGGATCGCGGGATGGTGGCGACGACGTCGTGGTGGTGAAGTGGGGAGAGCGGACGTTGTTTGTGGCTGGGCTTGTATCAAGGTTGTCGTCGTTTTCGTCGCAAGCAGTACGGTTTTCGGTATGGGTCGATATCGGGAGCGGCGCAACTGGTGATGTATGAGGACCTATGTTGGGCGCCTGGGGGGATGTTTTCGTTGAAGTAGGGTTGGACCTGTCGGTCTCGACGTTTCGTAGTTGGCGGCGACGGTCACGAGTGGTTGTAAGGTTGTCGAGAGGAAAAAAGGCAGGGTTGAGGTGGTGAGTTGAAGCTGGCGGCGGTGGTGGTGGTTGTGTTGGTATTGACAGTGCTCGGTGAGGTGCTTGCTTGCTGGGTAGTAGCGGTGGTGTTTCTTTCACCAATCGACGTCACAGAGGGTGGAATGGCGGAGGCTAAGGGCTGAGCGCACTGAGCAAATGTTTTTTTCGGTTCCCTTCCTCCAATGCAACGGCAACGTCTTTTTGGGTCGTTAACTGCTTGGAGGGTGTGGATGGAGGGGAGGGGAGCCTAGTACCGGTAGACCGTAGGAGGGGGGGAGGGGGGGGTCCCGGTCGGATCAGAGGAAATTGGGCTGGTTCGCTGGTTCGCTGGCTGGCAGGCTGGGGGACCTTGGGAATCTTTGGCGTCCACGGTTCAGGTATGATAGCAGAACTGGGTGATGGTCGCTGGAGCTTGAAGAAGGTTAGCACCGGTCGCCAGGGGCGCTGTGGCTTTTCGTCTCTTCGGCCTTTCTGTGTCTAGAGGCTTCGATCTTGACGGGTGGTGAGATGAGTTGAGTTTGTTAGGGCCCGTTCTTTGGGATGAAAGCCAATGTCTGGTCGTCTGTGAGTGGTGTGCTGCTGGTCTGGCGTCCGGGTGGTGGGAGAGGGCGGAGAGTATCGGCAGGTTTTCCTGTATCCTTCTCGTTGATCTGATCTGAAAGAGGTCGGCAAATGGGTGTGTGGGCGGGTGGAATGGGGATGGGGGATGGATGGGGATGATGATGGAGGTGATGGGGAAATGGTCAATGGGTAATAGGAAATGAGAAGACGGCATAGGATTGGAGGAAGAGGGAGGATGGATGGATGGATGGATCATTGACCAAGAACCAGGAACCTCGTCAGTCAAGGATTCGAGATAGATGGTAGAAGCAGAGGTACGGTACGGTACGGGATAGAGAGAGAGAGGCAGAGACAGGAAGAAGCGCTAATCCATTCTGAATACTAAAGAGGAACATGGATGGATAGACATGGGACAGCAGACAAAAGCGCCGAGGAAAAAACCTGATCTGAAGAGAAAAAACGGCTGCCACTCGCTGTGCTCTGGGCGAATTGGACGAGTTGGATGTGGCCAGGCTTCAGGTGCTAAGGTACGGAGTACATAGAGACTTGCTTGTTTGTTCCGTCACCTTGTATCCGTACCGTACTTTGTGTGTACGGAATAGCGTACGGAGTAGAATGAAACGAAACACGGCTGCCGCCCGTTGGCCATACTTCATACCGTACGGTCACCTTGGACTCAGTATTCATCGTGGCCGTGGTAGGCGTAGCATCCAACAGCAACTCAAAAAGTGGCCGGGGGAAAGAAAAACCTGGAGCCACAGGACTCAATGACGAGAAGTGGATGATCCAATCATCAATCGATAATAAAGCGGGTTCCACCAACCTGCTCCAGACACAGCGCCAAGAACAAATGCCAAGCTTCCACGAGGGCCAACATGCCAAGAGGAAGGAGGGGGCTTCTTGGTGCCTCTTTCTCTTTTTTTCTCTGCCTCTCTCTTACTCTCTCTTTCGCAATGTTCTTGTCCGAGGAAACTAAGGTAGTCACTAATACCTTTACATTGGTATTAAAGTATCTTCCCTTAGGTAAGGTAGGTAGTCAGGCACGTGCCAGGTATCCTTGAAGGAACATCGTGATGCGTGGTGTCTTGAATGGCAAGAAACAAGCGATGCAACTGCCCAAAAAAACCAAAGAAACAAAACACATTGTGGAAGGAAGGATGGGACACACGGCGGGGAGGAGGAAAGGCGGCCGTTATCATTGGACTAGCGTCATCAAGCGCCCCGCAACGCCAAGCGGCTGGCTGAATTCGCACGTCACGATTCGATACTAGACTATCCCACTCTTTGAAGTATCTTTTGGCTGTAGTTCGCGTCACTAAATACCTCCAACCTTTCGTTCCTGCCTTACCTACCTTAGACTTTCGGGAAAATCCAACGAACGGCTCAAAGTCCAGTGATTGCCGTCCAATCACCAGACGGACGCTTCCTCGGCAGTACGTATCTTTCCGGGGCTAGGAACACCCGGCATTCGACCGTCCGCTTCAGGTACGTACCTGGCAAGCTCCAGCCGTCTGAGCGTATGATCTTCTCTGCCGCTGTCACCGTCAATTTGCACCTTTTTTCCATCTTTTCAGCTTCAATTCCTCAACATCTCAGCACAAGCAAGCCTACAGATACTTCCCGGCACAATTCCATCAGCATCTAACTTTCGCCATTATTGATGCCAGTGGCTCCAGCAACACCTTCCTCCACGCTCCACTTCAAGGGCCAAGCACTGCCTCCAACCTCCGGAAGAAGCTTCAGGACGCTCTCCATCCCGGTCTGTCATCAAATCCGCTCACCACCCAAGTCCATGTCCCGCCTCTGCAGAGGAAATACCCATACTCCGTAGGCCATGGATGGAGGGAGGGGTGGGCCGCTCGATAGGGTCCCGGTCGTGTGCTTCCAAGACCTCTCCTCGTCCAATCACCCTCAACCTCGTCCACCCAGCGCCGCCCCAAACGGCATCGCTTTCTGTCCCGGCCTCTGATCACCGCCCCAGTGTGGCAGAGCCATGCACCCGTGGGACAACCACCGACGCATCATGGATCGATGGATATGCAGTCACGCAGTACCATATCGCGCCTCCAGGCTTCCCATCCACCTGTTGTCAACTAAGTCTCCCCTGCGAAAGACCCGGTGCTTCAACTGGGTTCGCCGCCGCAGACTCAGAGAGAGATCCTTTGTCACGGCGTTTTTGCGGACCGACCCAAATTGCTGTCAATGTTCCTCGGATTCACAACTCTACGAACCCTCCTCACATCGTTTCCGATACGATCTTTTCTAGCGCGGTGTACGGATACGCATAAGGTACATATTCAATACGGATGGCCTTGGCTCGCCCAAGAAACGCCGCTAGACACAAGAGCCATCGCGCATGGGCTTAGAGCGCCATGCCCTTGAAGACGTTCATTCAGGCTCTTGCGGCTCCTCCAGATACCACACCCACCACACACAAACACCAAGCCATACGCACCAGCACGGAAACTACCTGGCAATACCGCGATAATCGAAACACGCCCTTTCCCATGGCACGACGCATTCTCGCAAATCCTTCTGTGACTACCCAGCACCTCACAAAGCGGTGGAGAGTCAGCCAGGCACACGTACACACTATCCGTACACTCAGGTAGATAGTGTGTGAGTGGCACCAGAGAGGCACGAGAGGTTGGGGTGGTGCCCATCATCAGCACCTTCACTCAACGTCTGAGACATGCCTGCCAAGCGGAGAAGAAGAACGTTTTGTTGATGAGAGCCTGGCCGCTCTGCTGCATCGCCTGCCACAGATTTATTGATAAAATCGTTCTGTTCCTTTTGCAGCACAAACGCCAACATCTTGGCCTTTTAGCGCCCCGGCTGAGTTGGGACACGACTATTGGTCTTGTATCAAATCCGACATATGGGCTATTTCGCTTCTTTGCAAAGAATCGACTTCGCACTCATAAGCTTTAGACCTCAAAATTCCGTTGGTTCCGTTACCCACGCCTGAGAGGAGCGGCAAATACCAGCAGGTCGGTCTTTACCCGGCCGTCTATCGGAGTCTCTCGCCATGGAGCGCGGTGTATGTCTCTTCCCCACGACCCCTCAGACTCTTCGTTCCGGTCGTGTTTCGGTGGACCCTTCAACCCACAAAATCAGAGGTTGTGCCGCCGGGCCAGCGAGAACGGACAGGCCATTCGCTGCAAACCTTCCGGCCGGTCCTGTGTCCAGCCAGGCAAGGGATGGGAAAATGCAGCGAATTGGCCCAAGAATCCTAGACAGGACCATGGTCGAAAATGGAACAAAGCGCTGCAGCAGGATGCAGCAGGACGCAGACGCAGGTCACAGGTTGCAGTGGTGTGCAACTGGGCCAGTCTGCGACTCTCCGCCAAGGTCCAAGGTCAACATTCCGCCAAGATCACAAGAGAGCCACCGGATGGGAAGGAAAAGCGGGGGTTGGGTCCTCCAGGCTCCAGGAAGCGTGCAAGATCTTCCTGCGTCTCCGCCAGAGGCCTCCGCTTCAAAGGTCACTCCTCTCTCGGGCACGCCGTCTCCTCCAAAGGCCAAGACTTCTGCCCAGCACTGTGGCACTCTTCCCAATATCTCCACGCATTCCTCTCTCAGACTCCATACGGACACATCCAGCCAGAGTGCCAGGCTGTCTCTTTCTCTGGGCGTTTGAGCCAAGCTCTGCTGGTCTTGTCCTCCGATGGGCCCCTTCTGGCCACCGTCTTGACCGTCTTGTCGTTCCGTCTCGCTACCTCGACGGGCTCCAAGTGCTCGATATCGGGGCCCCATGCCCTCCCCTGACTCGGGCCTCCGAGTACCCCTCCACGGCTCCGGTCGACGTTCAAATGAGGCCGGCCCTGTCAGCATTTTCATAGGCGCAAGCTCGCGCTTCCTGATCATAGGCACTGCCGATCCAACGGGCCTGGGCATGGCACCCAACGGCATCCCGACTTCGCCAGCGAAGCTGCCATGATGATACCTTTGGCGGAACACCCAATCTTATTATCCACAATCAGCCCGTCGAAATTTACTGCCTCTGTACGAAGGAGTCGGTTCGGGGCACGTCCCCCTGCCACAATGACGAAATGGTTCATGTCTGGCCCGTTACCCAAGCAGAGCCAACAGCGACCGCAAGCAGGCCAGCAAGCTTAAGCTTCAAGCTCCCTGCGGCCGGCGAGAAGAAGTCATTAAAAAGTCTTGGGACTTTTGGTGGAACGATTCAGCAGGCAAACACCCTTTTACCGCCAACGACGAGTATTGCAACCTTTTTGCAGCAGTGCAGAACTAAACATACCACTGCCCCGCGCGCCAAGACATACTGTGACCAGCGCAACGCACAGAAACCCGGGCACCACACCGGCACTTGATCACTTTTCACAGTCCACCTCCGAGCGATTTGCCAGAATCAGAACGAGCCTTGTGTGCGCGCAAGCGCTCCTCATCTTCCTACTACCCAGCTGCCGAGTCAACCCTAATCTGATCCCTAGTTTGATGCCTTGCTCGTCAGCGATGGTGCTTGGTGTAGGAGTTAACCGGACCATGGACCGATACCCCCGAGATATCCCGGCTCACTCGATTAAGCTTAAGGTCCCGACCAGGAACATCCGGCGCTGGCTACAGCAGGCATTTTCCCAACCTCCTCGTTTTCGTCGCGGAGTCATACCGGGCTTCCGAAGTGTTCTACTCGTCCGTACTTGATCCCAAGTAATTGGGCACATTGATTTGGCTTTGCCCTCTGTGCCGCCGTTTTGCCTGCCTCGTTTTCGGTTTATATACTCACCATCGTTTCATCGTATAAGCCGAACCGGATGCGCGTTGTTGTCTTGAACGTCTTCCACGGCCTCACCTTGTTACTACAGCCTCAGGTACAGTGCCACAGTGTACAGATAGGATCAGTTATTTGGCTTTTGTTGAGCATTTACGTGAGAAGCTGAGCAGAGTTGCTGCCCAAAATTTGCCATCATGTATGCCCCCCGGAAGTTGAATCATGTGCCTTATTCAGACACCCACCACAAGTCTTGGCACGCATTGATTAGTCCCGCCGAGATATCGGAGTGTAATCGCCCAGAGTTTGCAGAATTGAGTTTTTTTGCAACCATCGCGCCAATTCCCTTTTTTCAATTATGAGCCAGTACGGTTTTACAGAGTACAGCGGCTCATCACAGTGCAAAGCCTGTTGCTCCCTGTTGTTATCATACATCGAAGCAGACGTTGCGTTGATGTCGATGAGTGTGGGCTTGACTCAGTCTCTGTTCTTCACTCCGTCATGCCTCGCAGTTATCGCGGGATGTGGGAGAGCCGAGTACATACATTCCACTAACCATTCTGTCTGAAAATTCCTTCAATTGCCAGCCCTACAGGGCGCAACGTTCCGAGATGAAGGCCTCCACTCCCATCCTCAAATGCGGTCCGCTTCACCTGAATCTTATTGTACGTCCTAGTTGCCTGACTAAGATTAGGTATAGGACTGAGGCAGACGTCAAGACATGCCAATCGCCAACGAAGATTAACAAATGAACCTGCAGGCTGCAGAAAGTAAGTAGGAGAGTACATGCGGACTCCTACGCTTGCCGATGTCTTCATCGTGTTTGTACTTGAGTTGCAGATCCGGATGGTGAGATCTAATCAGGCTGCATCCCGTGATCCCCAACGATGGATTACTTTTACGTACTTACCTATCTCGGTGGTATGCAGTGACTTTGATCCTAGAGGGCCTGGCAGATTGGCATAGGCTTTGGTACTGCATGATCCGTGATGTAATAGTGATAGTGACGGTGGCGATGGGGGCTCTTCCGAATATCTAGGCCGATGAACCGCGATAGACTAAAGAAGCAACTCATGGAAATTGCCTTTGCTTCAGTCTTGGTGGAGTTGATAAATGTGATGTCACGACTTACCAGGAGCTTGGACTATTTTCCTAGCTCTTGAATACGTCGGTCCTGGGCGAAACCACACTTATAGATGACTTGAAGTTGTCCGCGGGATCGCAGTGCCGTTTGGCCTCGATTTAGACCTCCTCCTTCCCTCGGTAGAGCATCCGTGGGGTGACTAGTTGACCGTGGCGTAAGACTACGTGTTGATGAGCTGAGCGAACTGGACGCTGCGGCTTGTGGAGTGGAACGTAACAGAAAGAGCGGGACGGATGGTATCGTAGAACTGGGTAGTGTGATAGAAGCACCCTTACTATACCACTTGCTGTTGTGAGCTTGGCGATTTTAAAACTCACCTCTTCATGTTAATTAGGTGGAGGAATGGGTATATATGTGTAGCAAGGGAGAACGCAAGTTCACTGGTAAAGGCATACTAGAAGAGGCGTGATGATCAAGACACATTGGCTTGCAAGTACAACACAAGACTTAATAACAATAACAGAAGGAGGAATGTGTAGGAAAGAGACCCGTAGAATGCATCGTTTTTCCTGATACATGTACATGCATGTTACACATGTGACTCCGGGGTCTAGAAGATGGTACTCAGAGGTGAAGCGAACATGATTGAATTAAAAAGGTGTACCGGAAGAACTGGAAACCCGGTCATTAAGATAGTCGAAGGACAAGAAAACAATACTAAAGATGCTGGCTAAGTCCTACATGGTTCAATCTCATTTTTCCCAGCCGTGTCCAATCATTATCCATGACCTCCAACGTTCATGTATATCTCTTACACACCAGCCGTTGCCTTCCCCGTGTCGAACCAGCTCAGGTAGTATAGACATTGACGGTGGCTTTCAAGAGGTTGCTGAGGGTAGCAGTAATACCGGTCAAACCAGCCTGCGAGGAAGAATCGATATAAGGCGTCAGAGCACCCCCGAGACCAGAGAGGTTCGTCGAGATCAGCTTGAGGTAATCAGTCTGACCAAGCGGCGTAAGCGGCGCGACGATGCCGGACGTCTTTGCCTTGGTCAGCAGATCTGTGACCGTCTTGAGCGCGGGCTGGATGTCGTTTGTGAGCTTGCTCACGATGGCGGACGAGTCGGATGAGTTGAGAGATAGAGTCAGGGCCTTGACGTCGAGTAGGGTGGATGAAGAGGCCGAGTTGAGGCCAATGGTGTTGAGGAGGACCTGGGGGGCTTTGAGGAGGTTGGCGATGCTGAGGGCGTTGCCGGTGGTGTAGTCGAGGCCGTTGAGGGTTGTGGTGAGCGATTGGATAGAGGTTAGGAGGGTGTCTAGACTGGAGAGTATGCTTTCGCCTGTGCTTGATTGGGAGGGGAGGTTGCCGAAGGGGAGGAAGCTGCCTGGCATAGGAGCTGCTGAGGTTGCTGTAAGGGCGGCGAACCCAGCGAGGATGGTGGAGAAACGCATGTTGATGTGGTTTTGAGGTTGAGGTAGGTTGATTGAGATTGTTGTTGACCTGAAGTGATTTGTAAAGAGCACTGGGCACAAGGCGAGGGTGTCTTTGTTGGTGCTTGTCCAAGACCGTTGCTGAAGTGTTTGAATGGTGAGAATTCTCTTAGGCTGAAGGAGGATACAACGTCTGTATTTATTCCCATCTAATTTCAGTGACGCGCTCGCCATCTCACACAACCCTCCCCTCTTCTTCAGCTCAACCCTCCGTTGACGAAATCTGGCCCGCCCAAGACAAGCCTATCCGAGACATCCTCTACTCGCAAAAAAAATGTCTCACCGCCGCCGCCTCTTGAAGGGAAGATCTCGACCAGAGGCAGACTTTCACAATAGCACTAACCCAAATCTCCGGAGCCTCAAGCCACGGAGCTAAACCCGCATCGCAACAGTTCTGCGAGAACGGAGAAATGATTGGCCTGCTACGCAAGAGGCGGGCTGGAACCACCAGCCCTTGCAGTCGAGAGTGCAGCGCCGTTTCCGGGTGTGACGAGGCGGATGGACGGACGCGGGGCCGCATTCGGACGGCGTCGTCAAAGAAGCTATGCTTATAATGCGGGGCCACTTGCGAGTTCGGTTCGGCGTTAGTGTGCGACCACACTGACTGCAGCTGACCAATGTGCGCAGGGTGAGAGTGAAGCGTGATGGTGGTCTTGAGGCTTGAGACGTGGACGGTAGTGGTAGGTTCTTTCGTACGGGCAGACAACTGGTATGGCTGGTTTCCACACGGGATCTCCAGAGGCTTGTTGCCTCATACGCCTGTGGACGTTTGGTCATTGCGTACGAATGTGAGAGAGGTATTCGTATGGCCGTTTGCGTTAGCACGGTTGTTGTGTGACGGAAGGATGGATCGTCGGCTATCGGGTTCCCGGGCGGTTTATCAAGGATCGGGGCTAAGGAAGCTGTCTTTTCCTTTTACGATACTCTGAGCAAGGGTCTCTCGTCACCTTGCAGAGGACGTGACATTCCTCGGGCTGTCAATGTAATCCATCTTGCTGTGGTCCAGGCCACGGCCCGAATGGGCACAGGCAGGCCTGGGCCGGATCGAGGAATGTTGCTAGCAAAGGATGTAGGCAATGCCCGTTGCGAGCTCTTAGCGACTCCTTGTTCTTATGGCCGTAGTGCGATGGTGCTATCTACCCTTGAGCTAACTCAGGTAGTCTGGCCCTTTGTGAAGTCTGCTCGAATCCCGGAGATCTCGGGGTCTGTCGCGGGCCGTGCTGCTCAAGAAGACTATTGTCCCTCCGACTTTGGATTACTATCAACCGATTCTTTCTACTTGACATATACCTAATAGTCACTACCTTTTGCTGAGTTACCTTATATTGCTTAATTATCGATTACCATAGTGAAGTCTTTCTTGACTCGAAGCCCGCCCCCGCGTGCTTTCCGATTTTGAACAGCCACATAAGCTAACTTTCTTGGACATCATGAGAGGGAGATGACTTCGACGTGACTCTGCTTCTTCTTTTCCTCTTCTACTTGGTCTTTGACGTCTTCCATGTCCATTCTTGCAACCTTTGCCTCGTCGCCGTCGAAGACCTTGGCAACCTCTTCGAGGGTGAGATTCTTTGTCTCAGGGTAGAAGAAGTACACGAACAACAGGGAGCAAAAGTCCAAGATCTGATGATGAAGTCAGTCCAAGCCATGAAGCAGATCATAGGCGTGAACCGCTTACCGTGTAAAACATCGCGAGTGTCCATGCATGACCGGCTGCCGTGAAGTTATCCCACGCAATAGGATTGGTATAGCTGGACAATGCACCGCGTTAGCTTTGGACTTAGGCGCAAGACTATTGAAAACTAAGTAATCTCACCTTCCGAGAACAATCAAGCCCTTGACAAAGATGGTTGATATGACCCCGGCCTTTGCCCTTAGACTATACGGCATGATCTCCAACGCATAGGCCGCCATGACCCCGGTCCACGCAATCTGATACGAAAGACTAAAGAGCCAGATAAAGGCGATTTGCGGATAGCCAAATCGTGCGAGGTCGTGGGTCCGCTCATACTGAGAACTGATGATAGTCCATCCCATGTACATGAGAACCATCCCTGTAGTTGCTGTGAGGAATAATGGTCTTCGGCCGAATCGGTCTATGCTCAACGAGAAGGAAACTGATACGATAAGCGAGAGGAGAGTCTGGCCACCACTGAGCTGTTGACCATCCGAAAACCGCTGTCAGCTAATACCCTCCCTCTTAGGTACCCGGCCCCTATTATGGTACTCACAAGAACTTTGTTCGTCTGGTCGCGAATGCCAGCGCCTTCGTAAATCTTATTGGCGTAGTTGGAAAAGAGATTCGTTCCACTGTACTGGGACACCATTGCCAGTGAGATCAACAGAACAACTCTGTACCTATTCCCCGCGGTTCTAGCAAAGTCGAGATAGCTGCTGGACTTTTTATCTTGGAACTCTAGAGCCAAAGTCTGCTTCATCTCACGAAACTCAAACACGACCGTCGTGTTCGTCTTATCCCATTACCATGGTACGTGGATAGCATATTCTCGGCATCTTCATAACGCTCCTTGGCAACTAGCCAGCGCGGCGACTCCGGAATCCAGCAGATGAGTGAGAGGACCAAGATACCGGGGAACGCCTGGAGTATGGTGAGGGACCTCCACGACCAGTCGCCCATGATTCGGATGGTCGACAAGGCCAGCCAGGAGCAGCTCGTGGAACCAACACCGTACATACAGTTAACGATGGCGGAGATCTTGGCCCGGTGTTGGGGGTGCGCGATCTCGGCTATGAGGAGACCAGCGCCGTTGAATGAACTTCCGAAGCCAAGGATGAAGCGTCCGGCCATGTACACTTGATGAGCAAGTCAGTGCTGAAAATGATCGGGGTAGACGCATAAGGAAGACTCACTTCCTTCGCTGTTCGACAAAGCTCCTATGAAGGCACCTATGGTTTCAATGACGCAGCCAATGATGATAGGCATCTTTCGGCCGTACTTGTCTGCAAAATATGGACTGTGTGCATCCAAACGATTCAGCAAGATTCTCACACCAGATGCCAGTCCGAATACACGGCCATACTCACACCATCCAGAAACTCGAAAGAGATCCGATGTCCAGAATAGCGACGATGAGTCCAAGTCTTCCCCCTGCCGGATGGTTGAAGGAGTTCTGCCACTGATCCATGACCTGCGAAGTGTTCATAAGTTTCCTGCGTCTCTTCCGTTAGCCCCTGATGTCTGGGTTACAGGTACATATGACGGAGCTTACGCATCAAAGCCAGTCGATGCAGACATCATCATCAGAATACCGCACCAAAAGTAAAGCTTTCTCAGGCCAGGGTCCTTCCACCAAGTGACCACTTCGAACTCTGGAGCTTCGGACTGAGCTATTTGCGCTTGAGCGTGTTTGGCGCCATGATCGAAGACATTTCGCACCATTTTATCGCGAATCTCACGTAAAGAATGTTGAATCTAAAACGATTGATGGGCCACGCCAACTCCATCATTTCGTCCGTAGAATAGGATGGGGGCATGCTAGCTTTTAAGGTTATGGGGTTGATCACCTGTAGCTACCGCATTCGTGTCAAAAGCTGAGACGACCGGACGCTAGGACTGCCGTAACCTTAAATGTTCGGAGTGTCCAGAGTTTGTTTGATGTGTCGTTTTCTCACAATTGAATGGAAGATGATACATGGCCAGATGAAATTGAAACCTGAAAGTTATGATAACAGGGGGAAGCCCTGTGTCTGCGTTGACCACATCGTCTAGTCTTCCGTCTCATACCTTGCTCTTGAAGACATGTACTCAGATGATGCATTCCCGATCGAGCTGCCCGCATCAGAAAAGATTACTCTCATTCTTCGGAAGCATCTCAGAGTAAATCAGGAGGACACATTTGAAAATCGGACAGCCGACCAAACGGATTCCAAGCAAGGTAGTACATCGTGCTTCTCATACCAGCTTCCGCTTCTTCATCTTCACCATGGCATCTCTATCGAGACTCACAACACCTCGACATTCCGCCCCCTCCATGCCCGGGCCTCTATCAGCCGGTGACCCATCCAAATGCGACCAGCGCACAAACTCCATATCGAATGTCGTAGCCATCATCGCAACCGCCGCTAGAATCTCATGCTTGGCAAAGAATCGCCCGGGACAGATAACGCTACCACCCCCATACGGACAGTAGTCGCCCAGCTTGACTTTGCGCATTTCCGGCTGCAAGAAACGCTCGGCCCAAAAGTCGCGTGCTGGGTGGCCTGGCAACGCCCATACTGCCTCATCAATGTGCGATAGCCAACTAGGTGCTAGGATGAAGTTGTCCTTCTTGAGCGTGTATCCGTCGATCTCGATGTCCTGTCGTAGACGCCGCGAGATGGGGATGCTCGAGCGGAGACGAAGGCACTCGTTGTATACGGAGTTCAGCAGTGGAAGAGCCGCCAGCCTTGTGATATCGATATCGAGTACTGAAGCCATGTTCGTACCGACGACCATGGCGGTTTTGACTTCAGCACGTATTCGTGAAAGGAGATGCGGGTCTCGGACCATTTCGAACAACATGTAGGCAGTCATAGGAACGGCGTTCGCATTGATGCTGTTCAATAATCGGTATTAGCATAGGTACTTAGTTATTATACGAGATGAGGGGACAAGTGAGTCTTCAGGGTTTGACAAGAAGGATATAAACATCACTTACGCCCAAATCAGACCCATATGCATTGCCGCACGCCCCTCGAAGCTGATCCCATACTCAACGAGAGCAGCATTCCTCTCCCGCACAAGCCGATGACCAAAATTCTCTTCCCAATCAGCATCGCTATCTGTAGGACAACCAGCAGTTGCTGCTGCGAGCCAGCCCTTGGTAGCCTCCAGAGTGCGGTCGCGCGCTGCCCAGCCTTTGCGACACACTAGTTTTGGCAGCCCCTGCATCAATGTCATGAAGGCAGCATCGTAGTTCCAGAACGTCTTGGCTTCCAACGAGCCCCTTTGGAGGATCCGTGGACCGACCAGTGTGATTGTTGACGCGGCGAACTGGTACGTCTGGAGGAAGTCGTATAAACCGACAACGGCTGGGGCCGAAGCCCCCTCTGGACAAGTCTTGAGCTGTTCGGAAAACTCGAAGACAAACTTGGCCGTCAGAAAGTCCACGGCAGACTTTTCTGTAAGGTTCTTGAGGTAAATCCCATGGAGTATATGCCAGATGCGTCCTTTTCCTGCGATTCCAGTCTCAGACTGGTTGAGGGTGCCAGCCCCTGAGTCGTCCATCCCCAGGAGCGCGGCATCGCTCGCTGGAAGACCTTTGACCTTGTGTGCGATGCGCAGTTGCATGAACTCGAACGAAAGGCTGCTTGACTGTCGGAATATTGCCTGGATGTTCGAGGCTCCCATGACTAGATACATGGAGATTGGGCCTAAGCGCATAGTTACTGGTCCCTTTGTTGGTCTTTTGGCACTTTTGCAACAATAACCTTAATTAGCATGCTGGCCATCGAATCAATGCCGCTTAATCGAGTAGAAACTCACAGTGTTTCTTCGTAGAATTTATGAGGATCTCTGATCATCTGGATGCCGTTACCAACCCATGGCAACCAATATGCCAAAGTAGGCGGCTCATTTCCTCGAAATTGGCGGTTTTTCTTGCTGCTTAGGTGAAAGCGGCATGTTGTGAAGATGTAGGTGCAAATGCATACGCCAAAGATGGCCAGGAAAAGATAGTTGAAAGCTTGAATCACCGACCAGGAACCGAAACTCAACAGAATGGGTTTGACTTGGTGTGTTGCTGAAATCTCCTGATGGCCCATGGTGGAAATTGATAATCTGGTGATGTTGGCAGGTTGCCGAGCTGCCTCGAAAATCCGACCCAACTCCATTTCCAGTGATTTCACAATACTTCAGTGGATTCCGTCTTCGTTCTACACTACTACAGCGCAGCGTTCCGAACTTGACAACTTAGATGCATGCTGCCCGGACTCTGCTGAAGGATGCTTCATAGTGGCACCCTGGCTGCATGTGATTGTGGCCACCTGCTGTTGAGCACGAGGCACTGTGTCCTCCGGCTCTAAGAGGAGCGTATTCCCTGTCAGAGAAAATATTGGTTAACCGGAATTGGATCAATCACTTCCAAAGTGACTGAGTTGTCCCGAGTGGCAATAGATGCCATACGGGGTACATTTCTCTCGAAGGATTCGGGAGTACGACGATGTCATCAGTCTTACCAATCAGGTATTGGAAGGTGACTTGCCGCATATCCGATCCACATCTGTCATACCTACTTGAGATGAACCGTGTGCGTGGCTCTGGACTTCGTGATCCTGGTAGAGAAGGGGGCGAGACTTGCACGGTGCAAAAACCCTTGAATCTTGTCGATGTAACGATGTCTACGGAGTACGAAGATAGTATTAGATGACATGGGTTCACGTGTGGATATGTCCGCAATTGCTAGCTAGTGTCAGCGGCTATGCTAGTAGTTCTGCTGCCTTGGACAACGAGACTAGTCTACAACCCTGCATTCAGAATCACGATACTTGGCATAAGCACTGTGAGCACAGACGAGCTGGACCCGCAGAGACAGTCGCGCAGTATAAATGTTGTGTTGCACTGTGTCAGCCTAGGGATGCAGGGCCTAGGACTGATTCGGGTTGATGGTGACTGTCGATGATCGATAGGCCCAGATAACACAAAGCTGGATCAACGGAGACCACCTCCCAAGTGGGCGAAGAGGACAACATCACATTTCTGCCATAATTTGCAGGGCAAGTCTAAGGAAAGTTCTGCTGGCGAAGAGGGACTGCCCAGACTCAGTCAACATGACAACCAGCTACTCAGTCATTGTCATCGGTGCAGGGGAATCTGGAATTGCTGTGGGTTGTATGCTCAAGACCAAAGTGGGCACTGACGACTTTCGGATATTCGACAGGCAAAGCGGTGTTGGGGGAGCTTGGTATGCCAACAGGTACCCGGGCGTAGCCTGCGATATGTGAGTGAACTCAGTGTGCCAGTAGTCAGAAATGATTTGTCTTCTCTGATCATGACGTTGGATCTGACTGTTGATATAGACCGGCGATTTTCTACTCTTATTCCTTCGCCCCGAACTATGAGTGGACGACGCTATTCCCTCCCGGCCAAGAGATTCAGCAGTACTTGGACGGTGTGTGCGACAAATTTGATATCCGGAGCAACATCCAGCTTGATACTGAGGTGTCAAGTGCTCGATGGATAGATGAAGACGCCGAGTGGGAAGTCAAGGTGACCAACCTGAGCCTTCAGAACAGGACACCAGAAGGAGTGACCCTTCGCTGTAAGGTTCTGGTCACTTGCGCCGGTGAACTTGTCGAGCCCAACCTTTGGCCACAGCATATCCCAGGGATTGAGTCTTTTCAAGGACAGGTATTCCACACAGCGAAATGGAACGACGATGTTTCCTTGACGGGAAAAGATGTCACAGTGATCGGGACAGGCTGTACTGCAGCGCAGCTCGTTCCGGCGTTGGCAAGCCCAGAAATTGCGGCGAAGTCAATCACGCAGCTCATGAGGAGATCACCATGGGTTATGGCTCGACCTGAGAAACCTCCTCCACGGTTGATGGAGATAGTTTCCACCTTGCTCAGGACCATGCCTGGCCTAGGCTTGTTCCTCCGACTCTGTCTCTTCCTGTACGCTGAGTCTACATGGCTCAACGTCGGCATGGGTTGGTTTGGCAGGAAACGGCGGCAGTGGTTTGAAAAAAAACTCTTGATTCACCTCCGTAAGACAGTCCCACCCAAATATCACAACATGCTGACACCACGCTTTGGTGTTGGGTGTCGGCGGATCATTGTCGACGGTGGGTGGTTGGAAAGCCTCAGTCTCCCCAACGTGGAGCTTACAAACAGACCTCTGGTCTCAATCGAGCCACAGGGCGTTGTCTTGGGACCTCATCCAAAAGAACAGCACCTTGAACACAATGACGAGAAACGCAACAGTGGACTCATCAGGATGCCTGCAGATATCATCATCCTAGCCAATGGCTTTGAGACATCGACGTATCTCCACCGTTTAAAGGTCCAAGGAAGAGACGGGGCATTCCTTCACGACGTCTGGAAGGTAAATGGAGGCCCTGGAGCGTACCTCAGCACAGCTGTCTATGGGTTCCCGAACTTTTTCATGGTCCTGGGACCAAACTCCGTCAGCGGCCATTCATCAGCCATTCTGGCTAGCGAAAATGTGGCAGGATATGCCCTCAACTTTATCAAGCTAGTTCTAAATGGGCAGGCTCGGACTGTTGAAGTCCACGTAGAGGCTGAGCAAAGTTACACGGCTGATGTGCAGAGAAGGTCGCTAGACAAAGTCTGGCAGACTTGCCACAATGGTTACATACAGAACAGAGGCTGGAACAGCTCCATATGTCCGTAAGTCTTGCGCTCAGTCGTACTCTAATTACCCAATAGTTCGCAGAAAGGTGCTAATGATCCGGTATCTGGACAGCTTCAATCAAATCCATTTTGCGTGGATGTGCAGGTATCCGAACTGGCAGCATTGGAACATCGCGTACACTGGCATTGGGACTCAAGAGAACAACAAGAGACTCCCTACGCGGCATCAAATGGCGTGGATGATAGCTTCGTCCCTGGCCATGCTCGGTCTTCTTCTTGCATACTCTGGGAGGTTCCACTAGACGATGGAATTATCTAGACACCCATCCATAGGACTCAATAAAGAACCGTATTCGCTGTTGAAATTTGTTTTGTTACACATATAAAAGAATGGCCCTTATACTTCTGATTTCCGGAAATAGCTCCGGAGTCAAAGCTGCGCTGCGACTGATTCCCCCTTCCACCTCATTCACATGGACAGAAAACTCTTTGTGCGCTCCTGAAGACGCTTGCCATACCTATCACACTTCTCCAATGAGCCTACACAGTATGTCTTGCTACGATATCGTATCCGCCCCGCAAGGATTCCCTATTCTTCCGGGTGGAACGTTTCTGCCTAAGATTTCCTTAGCCAATTGCTTACCGAGGTAGGGGCCCTGTGCTGTCTTAGACGATCCTTCAAGAGTCAATAGCAAGAACGCCCCGCTGCCGGGGCGAATTGTCCATGAGTCTAGACTCAGGAAAGTCGTACAATGAGCACAAAAGCTACCCACTACGGCAGAATCATGTGAACATTGAAGCTAGGCGCCAAGAAGTGAGGTTGAAAATTCTGCATCATCCTTGTCACCTCTGCAGGTGTGAAGGATCCGGCACTAGTGAGAGGGTTGCAACGTAGTCAGCAGCGGGAAATCCTTCCCAGCGGGCCAACGGGAATCCTACGGAAGACCTAATTCTAGCTTAGTGCTCACAATTGACCGAAAGGATCAAACTTTCGGTTTTGTCAGACACTGTGTGACATTCAGCTAGTTGATTAATTATAGTAAGACTGCGGTGTAGCTCGTATCCCTGCACGGGGGGGTATGGGAATCTTTGCAATCCGATATTGGGGAGAGGAGCTTTGGCATGTGATTTCTTTCTCTTCTCTGTCACTGGCATTGGAAGTGTGACAATCACGTAGAAGACCGAAAGTTCCAAATAGCGTCGACAATCGATGCAGCGGTTTCGGACATAACCCGCGTCAATGTGTGCGATATCCAAGATGAATTCAACTGTCGAGCATTGGCAGCATCAGTATGGCATCGCGGGGTTGTCAAGGCTTCGTGCCTGGACCGTTGCGCAGGCTACCGGCTTGCTCGTGGTCATCTTGATAGCACGCTTCCTCGTGAAGCTCATCAATCACCGCCGCATGTTTCAGCGACTCCAACGACAGGGCCTACCGATGCCCCCTCACGACTTCCTGCTCGGTCACCTCAAGCTTGCGGCTACGATCGCTAAGACTCTTCCGAACGATTTCCATGGGCACTACTTGGCAGGCGAGATCAGACGAGCATATCCTGACCTCCCGGCTGTTTTCTACTTGGACTTGTGGCCGACTGGCCCGCCATTAATGGTTATGACGACAAGCCACGACCAGGCACGAGTTACAGCGCATGAGCCGCAACTCCCCAAACATGAGGGCGTGTTGGGATTCCTGAAGCCGCTCATCGGGAGCCATGGTCTCGTCACGATGGAAGGAGACGAGTGGCGGTACTGGCGGGGCGTGTTCAATCCTGGGTTCAACGCTGCGCATCTTGTGACTCTGGTACCGGGCCTCGTTGAAAATACGCTGGTGCTGCATGAGATTCTGCGAGAAAGTGCTGCCGCAGGCGAAATCTTCTCATTGTTTGAGACTATGTCGCGGTTGACCATGGACATGAGTTGTCTCGCAACGCTGTAAGTTCACTCAAAAATAGCCGAAGCAGAACTTCACACCCGTTCGATCAATAATACTAACTTGGCCTTGCAGAGGTTCTCGTTTGAATGCTCAGAGAGAGGGATGCGATCTTGTATCAGCGTTTCGCAGCCAAGCTGACTGGATACCATCTCCCAACGAGACAAACCTCTTCAGGAAATTCAACCCTGTGAGACACTTGGTCTACCGCTATAATCGGTGGAGGATGGACAGATATGTTTCGAACGAGCTCGAGACGCACTTCGCTGCAATGCGCTCCCAGGCTCAGCTTGGAGCTTCGGAATCCGAAAAAACAACGATCCCGAGAAGAAGCAAGGCGGTGGTCGACCTTGCACTGGAAACATATCTCCTTTCGGACAAGAACAACGAATATTCTAGTCAGAAAATGACCATGGATCCAACGTTCAAGCAATATGCTGTCTCGCAGATGAAGCTCTTCCTTTTCGCCGGGTATGACACCACAGCTGCTGCGGTGGTCTACTCAATCCACCTTCTTTCGCTTCATCCGTCTGCCCTGTCAAGAGCGCGCCAAGAGCACAATGGTGTTTTTGGAGCCGGCAGCACTGTCGAAGTCACTGGAAGTCGTATCGCGGAAGCCCCTCAACTTCTCAATCGACTGGCATACACATCCGCTGTCATCAAAGAGGCTCTCCGGCTATATCCGCCAGTGTCAAGCACGCGTGCATCTGGGCCAGGCTTCACAATATCGGAAACCGACAAGACGCAACTTGAAGGGTTCATGCTCTGGGGCGTGCACCACGCTATCCACCGAGCCCCGGAGCACTGGGTAAGACCAGACGATTTCGTCCCGGAACGCTGGCTGGCCTCTCCGGGTGATGAGCTGTACCCCACGGACAAGGAGGCGTGGCGGCCGTTCGAGCGGGGCCCGCGAAACTGCATCGGCCAGGAACTTGCACTATTGGAGGTGAAGGTCATTCTGGCCATGGTGCTGAGGGATTTCGACTTTGCGGATGCTTACGTTGAATACAACAAGAAGACAGGTCGGACAGGTCCCACCGAAGTGGCAGGGGATCGTGCCTATCAGGTTATCCATGGAAGCACTAAACCTAACAATGGGTATCCTTGCAGGATCAAGCAAGCCACACATTTGTCTTAGACGGGGATATTCTTAGACTAGACCAATTACTGAACAATGTCTCAAGTAGTAAGCCGATTCTCTTACTACATAAACCTTGATTCGTGTGTCCAATGCTTAGCTATCTCGAAGCATTTGCATCAACATCACATCACCCCCCAGGCAACTGCTCACGACAAATTCCCTCAGCTTAGGACTCGACCGGCAATCGATACAGTCATCATGGCGCGACCCTTGGTACACGTCGTGTTCCCCTTCATCACACTGGCTGGACTCTACGCTGTCTCTAACTTGATGATGAACTCTGGTCACGCTCAAATGTTCACCGATAAGCGAGCGTCGGCAGCGCCCTTGCTTCTAGACAACGAAACACCCCTGCTCACGTTCTACACCGGGGTCCCGCCCCTGGACTCGTATCTCTCCAACCTACAATTCAGCATTATCCCAACAGTCGATGGCTCGTTCCCGGCTTTATCTCTCCTGGGATGGCACTGGACGGGGCTTCTATTGGCCGTCTTCACCGTTATGCTAGTTGAAAGCCTACGAACGCGGCGCGCGAGGGATCTGATTTCTTTCGCACTTTGGGGCCTTGCCATACAGTATGCCGGGTACTTCATCATCATGCCTCTGTACTGTTATGTATCTCTGCTCTCTCAGCCACCTAGAAGTCATTCAAGGTTACCGACTATGACTGCCTTTCAAGCTGTCCCGGTCTCAGTGCTGATTGGGTTTGCGATCCCGTCGGCCATCATGTGTCTACCGAGCAAGTATCTCTCTGGCCAGTCAAGACAAATCGCTGTAGCTGTCTGGCAAAACTTCCCTGCGTGGATGGCACTAGTACAGGTTATCACCATGTTTTTGATTCGAGCCAACCCAGCACGAAAAACGAAGGAACACAAGGCCAAGGATGACGAGCTCGGCCGTAACACGTCAGCGCTTCGTAACTTGTACAAAGTTACTGCAATAGTCTCGGCCTTGATCCATGTCTTGGGTCTCATACCCATTGTCTCCGCTGCGATTGGAAAGCTGGAGCCTTCCGGGAGTTCGCCATACGCGCAGCTGCGACCGGCGACCTTCTTTCTACCGCAGAGATGGGATAGTGAGACCCAGATTAGCGGGATGGCAGAAGGCGCATTCAACTTCCTCCGTTATGACTACTACATCGGCACCGCCGCGGCTTTTGCGTGGATTGCATTCCTTCAGCCTGTACGGCAGGGCAAGGGTGATACTTGGTTGGCTGGTAGAGAGGCGACATGGAACATTGCTCTCACATTCTTGTTTGGGCCTGGCTTCACTATCGCAAGCCTGATGGAACGGAGACTTGATTACGGACTCAGCATCTAGCCAGTCAGAACATCTAATCCTTGGCGCTATGTTCCTACTTAGTAGTCTTTCAATTCACTCAATTGGTCGGCTTATCTTATGAATGATTTAATCCTAAGCCCACGGAGGTCGTCTCCGTCTCGGCTCGGGTCGTGTTCGTCTGAACCACGAGCTCGGTGTGGGGTTACAACATCCGGAACTTGACCAGGATCTCCATAAGCCCTATCCGCCAAGCTGTAAGGATAGGATCCTTCGCCGTTTTCTAGGCTTTGATGGATTCGCACTGTTCGCTTACACGGCAAGTCAGTGATCAACAAGATTGTGGGGGTTCACCGATCCTACCTTACCTTGCATGAAGAACGAGCCCGGGCCAATGTTGATGCAACTAGATCCTTCGTCTCCATCTAGATCTCCCAGCCCACAGGTACGCGCCGATTGGACCTCTCGCAAGGCATTTCGCATAACCCCTGTCCAATGTACAGTAATTTGTTTTCGATTGCAACTGTGCTCTTCACCTCGGCCGTGGCTTTCCAAAAAGAGAAGATCAAGAAGACGACGCTCCATTCGTGTGACTTCTTCGTTTGTGACGCTCTTCCAGTTGAATTGTGCGGCTTCCATTGGCAGTCAGTGTGCCCAAAGATGTCTGTTCTGCGACGCAAAGTGACGAGATTGGCTCCGCCTGTAGTCTTGACCGATAAGGTTATCCCGGTCGACTACTGGGACCACCACTCTCGCGATGCTGTCCTCAACGTAATGCTGCGATTTGACCGCCAACTCGATGCAGCCAAATTGCGCAGGGCTCTAGAGCAGTTGCTTGACCGTCGAGATGGCTGGCGCAGGCTAGGTGCGAGAGTACGGCTGGGTGTAAGTACATGTACCCTACAATGACACAAGCTCATTCTCATATTGTGCTTGACTGACTTGATTCCATAGCCTTCGGACAAGCTACAGTGGCATGTGCCTGAAACATACACTGAGCAGCGGCCTGCAATTACTTTTCATCACAACCGCCACACCAACATTAGCATCAAGCAGCACCCACTGGCATCTCGACTTAGGAGCAGAGGTCCATCAGCTTCTGATGTTTCCAATGATGGCTCTACTCCTTGGGTGGTGGAGTCAGGCAGTGGCGTGGACTTCTCTCCGTTGATGCGACACCCAAGTGATCCTACCTCCTTCGAAGACTATGTTTATCATGACAAGCCGATGATAGGATTGCAAGTCACAACATTCAACGACGCGACATTAGTATCGTTAGGCTTCTCGCATATCATGTGGGACTGCATGGGACTTAAGGACCTCTTTGATGCGTGGTCCCTCACTCTACAGAAACGCCATGGGGAGGTTATCCCGTTGATTGAAACTGATCCCCTTGGATCATTGGGTGCCTCCCCTGAGTCGACCAAGATGACCCCAAAGGACGATGGCAGAAAGTCAGCACCAGCCACCTTCCCTCCTGAACAGTACCAGCACATCAACAAACAGCTTGGACTTGTTCAACTCATTACTCTTGGTCTTCGACAAGCACTTGACAAGCTGTTGAACAGAAACGCAGTGGAAGAGTTCAGGACAGTGTGTGTGCCTGCAGCGTATGTCAAGTCTTTGCGCAAGGACGCACTGCAAGCTCTCGAGACCGAGAATGCCAGTTCGCTCAGCCTTCAAGAATCAGAAAATGGTCATAAGTCTCAACTGACTCCGAAAGCCACATTTCTGAGTGATGGTGACATTCTGTGTTCGTGGTGGACACGCAACATTATTACCTCACGCATCCGCAATCCCACCAAAAGCCGCAAAACCATTGCCATCCTGAACATGATGGGTCTGCGCGGCGTCCTAGCACAAGCGGGACGATTACCCGAAAAGGGTGCGCTGGTTGGCAATGCCATCTTGCCCATTCCTGCCCTATTACCTACGCAAGATCTTGTCAAAAAAGGTCCTCTGGGCTTTGGCCGTGTTGCAAGGGCACTGAGAGAGGCTATCGGGCAACTCAGCACGAGACCACAGGTTGAGGCTCTACTAGCACTGCAACGGCGTGCAAACGGAGACGAGGTTAATAAAAAAGTTAATAAGAAGAAGTCGGGCAACGGCAAAGCTGGATTGCCCGCCCTTTTCGGCGATGCGGGCATGCACATGGTTGTGTGTACCAACTGGACCAAAGCCGAGTTCTTCAATGTTGATTTCTCTGCTGCAGCAGTAGAGGAGATCGGTTGTGACGGGCTCTTTGAAAATGAGCGACTTCGTCTATCGGAGACGTCATCTCGCGATACTGGTGCCAGCGGTGGCGCCGGAGGGAAGAGCGCCATGGGCTGTGATGGGCTTTGGGAGGATGAACATGCTTCCCGTTCGTCTGCCGCTCTTCGCACTGATGCTCCTGCAGTCTCTCGCGTGGCGGCGAAGCCGACCGGTGTTCACATGCACTTGATAACGGCAGGTACTCCTGCATTCTTGATGAGCATCTTCACCATCTTGGGCCGTGATGCCAACGGAGATTACTGGATTCAGGGAATGTTGAGGAAGAAGTATTGGGCCAAGATTGAGACCGCCCTTGGCCAGAAGTAGGTGTTTCTCCAAAGATGCAGGCTCTAGTTCAAAATCATCAACAGACCAAGGGCATGTGAATGATGGGATTCAGCGAGTAGCGCAGGATTATGTATTATGCACATTCTTAGAATAACTACATTCGGTATGATTTGCAATGTCGCGATGTGCTTCCAGATTCGGCATTCCGTTGAAGGTTTTTTCCTTACCCAGAATAAGCTCTCAGAACAATTTCGGGTACATTAGCCAGGCTTTCCAGGGTCTCCCTTGATGGTCCAATCCCAGAAGTTGACGGATTCGCTTTCATAGGCAATCAATTCTGACTTGGTTGCAAAGCACTTGGCGCAAATGTCTAGAGTGTCTGCGTTCGCCATTTTCGTGGGAATGACCATTTGTAGGGTACGCCCATGTGCCTCAATGTACGAGAAGCGAAGCGTTGAACTAGCACTCGAGCCGAACTTGGCGATATACTTGGCAATTAGCTTCTCGCCATAGCCCCAAAGCTCCTTAGACTTTGAGCTTCCCCAGAAGCTCTTGCTTGTGTAGAATTGAGGGATCCAGACTTTGGCAGCTGCGTTGAAGCGGGCTTCGTCTGCTTTGAATACGCAGTACCAGTTCTTCTTGATCGGAGAGCCTCGCCATCCCGCAGGTTCGGAGCCTACGACTTGGTTAACCCAGATGTAGATACAGAGGGTTTCGAGTTTTGAAAGCTTTGGTTGTGCTTACCTAGGTATATCCCACTTCCGATTTGACTGCCGCCTGGCAAGTTGTCAAAAGCCGGGTCTCTGAAGGGCGTGTTCTTCTCATTGATTTGCACAGCTTCTCCCTACAGGTTCGCAAGGTTGTTAGTGACATAGATACGATCGTTCACTCAGCCCGATAAAAGCGTGACTTACCTCGGCGGCTGTGCGATATCCAACCACCATTCTACCCTGGATCCCAACGAATAGGTATCCCAGGGCTAACAACAGAAAAAGACGACTGGACAAATTCATGATGATGGCTAGAACCCCGATCGTCGCAACCCAAGAGATCTTGAGATTTCACTTGATTTAGCTTGAAGGAAGCGACGAAGAGTCAACGATTTTTATAAGTATTTCGCAGACGCAGACCTGGATTTCCCTGTGATTGATTCTTGGAGAGCCGAAGTTGCCGTGGCCAAGCTATTTTGCTTTTTTCCTCGAGATCGCTATAATCGAGTTGTTGCGACTGAATTGCGACCGAGTCAGATTGCTGGAACTCTTCTGGCGAGGAGCTGATGGGTTCTTGTGACTGAGTCAAGTCGCTGGATTTGTTTGCATTGCTACAGTAAAGATGTTCTAACGGAGTCAGGTTGCTAAGCATGTTGCACTGCGTGACGCTCAAGTCTTCAACGGAAGATTTCTCGTTAATTACCTCTCCAGTCGAAGCTACTATATGACACTCGCTAAGTCCGGGACTCGCGGCAACACTCTCCACCCTTCTCTGCTCTGGCCAAGACCGAAGACGAGCACTCAGTCTTGGAGAACAAGTCGATTATTGAACTTGCTCAAGTGTCAAACAAGTGGGCAGACTTGAATCAAACCATATCACGCTTCTATGGTAGGTATATGGAGTTACAGCCGTTCTGGTGTAGCATCCCCAGTCTCCAACAGCTCTGCTCTTATTTAATCCCTCCTTATTCAAAGATGCAGGGGAGAACGGAACGGGCCATTATGCCACTCATTACTGCCTTACTCTGAATAATTGGTTGTTTCTATGTACTGACGCCATTCAGCACTGAACAAGATAGCTCCGGAAAGCTATTCTTATCTTTGGTCATCCACTGATACAGTGGAGTGGAGAAGCCGGACTACGAACTGGACCCCCTTCCGAGGTAACTCGTTCATCATACTTCACTGAAGTGGCCATACCTGTGTGAGGTATGTTGATGCAGTAATTCAACTTACGTCACTCGGTAAATGGCAATTGCTGAAGTTGAGTCAAGTAAATGAGCCTGGGATTAAATACGTGGATTCTGGACATCAACGCTGAGGCTGATTCTGCCCAAGGCGACCGAACACATATTTCTCGTGTTCAACTGAGCCACATGACTTAGAAGCTGTTCAAACTTAAAGAGTTGTCGATCGGCAACGCCGCATCAAGCTCGGTCTTCTTGAGTCGCTAGCTATCTAGCATGATATGGTGAATTGACAGGGGCCGAAGAGTCCGACGTTAGACTGCGTTAAGATGTTGGCATCGGACTTGGCTCAAGCATTTTTCTGTTCGACCTGATTGACGGAAAAGCTATATAAACAGCGTCCCGAAGGTGTCTTCAAGCTCTCATACTGTCTGGATAAAGACAGCCAACATACACAAACCGGTCACTGAACCTGTATTCTTCTCGGTGGAATCAAGGCCTCATCAAGCACTTTTGGTCAAAGAAGACAGAACTCTCCTTAGGCTATTCCTCTTCAGTCTACTCTTTGCAATCATGCTGAAAACTCTGGGCCTCTGGCTGGGATGCACGGCGTCATCCTATGGCTCACTCCTACCACGTGACGGCGATAATACGAACGGACAACAATGGATCAACCACGAAGCCGTAATCCCTTTCACCCAGAATGCAGCCGATGGGATAGGCTGAAGTTTGGAGCTGCGATTCAACCCCTATCTCTGGGTTTCTGGTGGCTGCGATCCGTACCCAGCCGTGGACGAGAACGGTAATCTTGGGTAAGGAGCATCTACAATCCACTTGAAGTTGTCTTGAACATCAGCGTCTCGAGGGAATTCATCGAGCAGCGTACATGAATTAAAGAGAGTTAATTGAAAGTCGCAGAGCTGGCTTGAAGCCCACAGGCGGTGGAAGGAGTGGCTGTGGAGCAGGCGGTAATGGCCAAGTTCATGCCCGCCGCGGCCAAAGCCAAGGTCGTAATGGCATCATGTACAGTTATTACACTCCCAAGATTCGCTGGGCCGACGGGAAGAACAACAGACATCGTCATTACTGGGCCAGTGTGGTGGTCTGGGTCAACCGATGGGTTGTGAAGAAGAAGATATCACAGGCATTTGGCCAGTCGGTGTTTCTTACACGGCTGACCATCTAAACTGGGGCACGCCATCTACAATCAGCGAGATCTCATTCCGGGGCGCAAATGTTGGCCTCGATATTGGAACACATGCTAAGATGCAAATTCACGACAACGCCATCTCAGCCTTCGAGGGCGCCGACGACGAGAATATCTTTGAGCGAACCCTGAACAGCTGGGAGTCACTGCCAACTTTGGCAAAGGATGCCCTTACAGACGTTCAGTATGAGAAGACCCAGGTTCCTTTTAATGACGCCGACCTTCAAGCTCAGATGGACGCTGCGTACCAGGAGAGGTTCTTTGCGGGCATTCCAGAGGTGGCGGATTGCGACCTAGTGGAAGACCGACCACCTAAGGTTGATACTCCGGATGACCCTCCTGTGACTGTTACTACCTCTGCGCCAAAGACGGAACCCACTGGAGCATAGTCATCTGTGTATTCTGAAAAGATGATTCGAGCTCGGTGGATGGAAAAAGGCAAGGGCTGAAGCTAGCAGACGACAAATAATCATCCCTTCAAAGTCGATAGAGTGTACATAATATTACTTGCTCTAGCGTATTTGCAAATCTAATCGTGTTTCTTCATTACGAAGCCAGCCCGTTTTAAGATGCAAAACTCCGTCGGACTTTCATTTACCAGGCAAATTCAATCACGAACTTGGTCCAAAAAGGTAACTTTTTGCCCGAGGGGTGACTAAGCTCTCTAATACCTGGCTTGTCTCTTGCCAAACCCTTCGCTGGAGTTCTAATCCGAGTGTCCTGTTATTGCAAATAAGTGTTAGCATAAGGCAAGTATCGCCCAAGTTCAAACCCGATGAATTTCAATGTTCATGCCGTATAAAGTAGGGGTTGTTTCACCAACCGTCAACATACCTGTCCATGAACTCAGGATACCTAGATCGAAAACTGGCCGTTAGCAAAGATGTAACATTCCCACCACCAAAGCATAAGTCATATTCGGCAATATGATGTTTCGAGGAACAAAGACAAAGAACTGAACTCACGGAGCAACATCGTAATCGACCAGCATCTTTCCATGCGATCCTATCAGTGGTAGGCATGCGTTGACCACGGTTCGGGCACACATCTCTATAGGCCGACCAATGAACCAAAGCAGCAGTCTCCCGATGAGTACTCGTGAGCTGAGCGGTGTGAAACAGGCGCCCGGATCCAGCTGGTGGATGTGAATCCTGGGATTACTGCCGGGTAGATGACGGGCGCAGAGCTCCCTGATCCAGCATGCGTGGATCATCTTTGCAAGACCATATTGGTAACTCTTCTGAGTAGCGGCATCTTTGACATTGCTGACCTGCTCCAGGTAGGAGTCTTTTGCGTCGTCTGGAAGTTCGACCATCGGGGCTGCGGAGCGGATCGCCGCGCTGGTAAGACTGCAGAGCACCACTGGTTGATTATCTCCGTCGGCCAGCATCTTGGGAAACAAGAGGAGAATCAAGAGTGCCGATGAGAGATGGGTTAGTTGCACAGCTAGATCCATATTGTTCCGGTTAGAATTTTGGTTTGTGGAGAAAGTGGTGATGGGCATTTTCCAGAGCGGAATATTTTCAGATGAAACTCACTCTCTTCCCATTCATCTGCAGTAACTCTTGTCTCATCGTTCATTATAGCAGAACCCATGACCACCACATCAATGCGAGTCTGAACTTGATTGATCCCGGCTGCAAAAGTCTTGACGCTATCAAAAGACAATAGGTCTACTTCCATCACAGTGATAGTCGACTGCTGGCTTTCATCATCATCAACGCTCATTTTCCTCAGTTCACCGGCCAACAACTCGCCTTTAGCTACATTTCGGACCGCCAAAATGAGAGTCGAAACATTGAGGCTGGTGATAATCCGAGCCGCGTCTGAGAGAATCGCGCCGGTGGCGCCGACAAGGAGGACTGTCTTTCCTTTGAAGCTTGCGGTAGGTGGTGCAAGGTCCGCCTTTGCCTGCCGGCGAAAAGTGGCCCATGGAAAGATTTCCGCGAAAGGTATTTTCTCTGATTGAACCATATTGAATTTACAAAGTCAAGAGAATGAGAGAGAAGAAGACTGCCGCCTCCAATCAAGGTTCAAGGCTTCTCACCACTGATAGCACATCAATCTTTACGATGTCCAAAGATGTCAATGCTCAGTGAGCAGACCGAGTCGCCGAGACCCGGTTCTTAGTGCTGACACCTACGGAACAGGGCGTAGGCTGTATCAAGCCATGATCCATGTTCTCCAGGACACATCCATTTTTGAATTCTGGACCCTTGGACATTGTCTCTAAGCAAGTTCATGTCATTCTGAATCTGAGTTGAGACACTACTGGAAAGCGGCGCACTGTGTTCAAATTGGGCCACCGTGTCCGCGATCTGCACATCCACCGTACGGGGCAACAGTTCAGAGACACCGATGCAATGGTCGGCAAGCACGGGAAGACACGACAGATATCTCATTGCATGTGCGTCGTAGTGCCTACGTTAGTCTAGTGAGGGTAGTGCGATCCTTCGCGCAAACCAAGAGGCAACGGTTGTGGCTGTTTGACCGTCTGAATCCCTCCAAAGATGGCTCCGAAGTTGATACCCACTCGCGTTGCTGCCTGGACCAGGCCAGATGTGGACTTCGTCCAAACTTAGAAGTCAGGGTTACATTCGCTTATTCCGGCCATCGGTGGCTTCAGCATTACAAACCTGGGTTCACTCTTGCTCCACTCTAGCTGTGGCAGTGGCATCATCAACGCGTCCGTCATTGCAGAGCAGCACGGCACGTCTCCTTGCACATTGCTCGATGCTCTGCACTATCATTTCAGCACAGTAATCACCATGGCGTTATCTAGATTGTCAGAGGCTTTGTTTGCTAGCGACGGCTATGGTCTGTGGTGGTTTTTGTCCCTAGGTGTCGTCTTTCTTGTCGGCAGAAGTCAGGTTCGAGCCAAGCCTGTGGATCCAAGAGAGCCGCAAGAAGTGAAGCCCAGGATACCGCTTGTTGGCCATATCATCGGGTTACTTGGGTCAAGGCAAAAATACTATCGTCAACTCGGGTACGTTGGAAGCCAAGTCAGTGAAGTCTCACAACGAGACGACTTCAACGTTAAACGAAGAGCCAGAAATTAGACTAATGACAGCGTGACAGCCTTGAGAATGCGAAACTTCCCATCTTTTCCATCTCGATGGGAGGATCCGAGAAGATATACATCATCACAGCACCGCAGCTGATCCAGGTTGCAATGAAGAACAAATCTCTGAATCTTTACCCAGTGATGGCGGAGTTCGCGCAGAAGATGGTCGGCTTAGGGCCAAACGTCATGGACTTGTTCCACAATCCACCGACTGATGGCTCCATCTCATGGATTGAGGACCAGCATCCATCTTTTGCCCCTCTGGCTCCTGGTCCTGATCTACAGGAGATGAACACCTATGTCCTGAACAAGATTTCGAAGACCATCAATTCTATCGGACCTGAGTATGAGACCAAGAAGCTGTACATGTGGTTCAGGGATTCCTTCACCATGGCCACGGTGGGCTCCCTTTTCGGTAACGAGAACTCTCTGATGCACGACCCGATGTTGAGCAAGAATTTGTGGTAAGTGATAGTATCTACCAACTCTTCAGAGTTCGACTGCTTATAACGCCAATATGAAGGAATTACGATGGTGGCCAAGCCGAGCTACTCATGAAACCGCTACCCTCGATAACAGTATCAAAGGCCTACAACGGCCGTGCTAAGGTGCAAAAGGCTCTTCGGAAATACTTTCGCGAAGATTATGATCACATTACCGATGCCAGCAGTGTCGTCAAGCGGCGCGTGGCGGTGAACCGGAAATGGGGCCTGCCCATTGACGACATCGCCGACCACGAATTCGGGATGCTCTTTGTGAGCGTCACAAATGCTATCCCGACACTCTTCTGGATGATGTGTTATGTGTTCCACGATGCCAAACTCGTTGCAGAATTGCAAAAAGAGCTTCAAGCCCTTGCTGTGATACAACAGCAGGACAACGGTGGCACCGGGTGGCGCCCGTCTCGAAAGTGTACTTTTACCGTCGCCAAGTTCCGGACAAAGTGCCCCTTGCTGGTGTCAACCTACAAAGAAGTCATGCGTTTGACAAATCGCTCAACTGGCACACGCCGGGTGGTGGAGGACACATTGATCAGCTACATCCCGTCCGGAGAAGGCGGCGACACAAAGACATACCTTCTCAAGAAGGGTGCAAACATTCAAATCCCTGCCATTATAACCAACTTTGGCCCCGACGCGTGGGGCGAGAATGCACACGAATTCAACCCGCGACGGTTCATGACTGCGGACAGAGAAAGAGAGCGGGCGCAAAGCCGCGCCTTCAATCCTTTTGGTGGCGGTAAACACCTTTGTCCCGGACGTTTCTTTGCCGACGCGGAAATCTTGGGGGCGATGGCCGCGTTGGTGCTGGGTTTCGAGATTGAAACTCCTGCTGGTGGCAGGATTGAGGTCCCGCCGATCAATAATAACTTGGCTGAGGCTGTTGGAAAGCCCTTGACAAGCGTCCAGGAGAACATGATGGCGAGGATTCGACGGAGGCCGGGTTGGGAAGACGTGGAGTGGGCATATATTGCGAACAACGTGACAAGCTGAAGCGAAAGAGGCCAAAGTCCACAGCGTACGCAATCTCACTCTTCGATGAAACTTTGCCTTACTTGGTATACTAATTGCGTTTACTTCTTTGGCGCAATCGAATGATGTTGAACCACAAGCTTGCAGTATTCTTGTGGCAAGCCGATGGGCACATGTAACTGAAGCGCTCGGGAAGATTGGAAATCTAGGATGTGCAGCCTTCATGTCTGAGCACGACATCTGTCTCAGAGCTGAGCTGGTTCTGCCAATCGATTGATGGAACTTGGCAGCATTCTTGTCTGAGAGTCCAACGAGAATTATTTCAGCTACCAAAGCGGATACACACCGATCAGTGAAGCCTTGATACAGTCGTGGGGAAGTTCACTCTAAACTGTCAACCCCTGATGCCAGCCATACTCAAGCGCCCAACATTACGATTCGTCGAGCGTGGGACCAAATTACCCCCTCCAAGAGCCCCCTAATTTTGTCCCTGACCGCTGAAAAGTGAGTTGACGAGGAGGCTCAATGGTAAAGTGGTGTTTGAGAGTGATGATATCTAAGGGTAGCGTTTCCGATAGCGTTGGGCAAAGCGTAATGGATGCATGTGTCACACATCGATGGTGACTTGAGAGTCAACATGACATCGCGATAACCAGGTGCTGAGAAAAGCAATTGAATTTCCGGCATTGCTTAATGTAAATGACATATATCAAATGTTCGCACTCTTGATATCAAGGTTTCACTCACGCCTCTGCAGCCACCGGCCGGCATCGTTCTCGGACAGCCGGTGAGGGGTCGCCGCGGAGTGCTGGCCGCGGAAACCTTGCCGAGCCGCTTATCGGCCGTCGTGGGGCAACAGAAGTAGGAATATACATATAGTAAAGTAAGCCGCCAAAAAAGCACGGGTCTCCGAACTTGGCTCATTGTGAAAAGTTGCGTTATAAGAACCCTAAGAACTTCCATTTCCTAACGCGAGGTCCACGCGTGGTCCAAGGATTGATAATCACTTTTCCTCAACTGCCGAAAAGTCGGACAGTCCCTCAGCCGCTATCTGTCATATCGCGGACCGCATGTCGCCGAAACAGAGCCAGGCACTCGCCGTCGTTCCTGGGCCTGCCCAGGGCAAGGTTATCTTCTCCGATGTTCCACTAAGCTTCATGATGGGCGTCGACTCAAAGACTGGCACTGTCGCAGATGCTCACCACCCCCTCCTTGGCACATCTCTCAAAGACTCTGTTCTCGTCATCCCTGCTGGTCGCGGATCGTGTTCCGGCAGCAGCGCAATCGCAGAGCTGATACTATCCGGCAACGCTCCCGCGGCTCTCATCTTCCGGGACGTGGAGATGATCCTCACTCTGGGCGTCTTAGTGGCCGACAAAATGTTCGACAAGCGCATACCAATTGTCTTTCTTTCGGACGAGTCACTTTTTGAAGTTTTTCGCCAGGCTCTGACGGTGCAAATGAATGAGACGAGCTTGTTGGTTTCACCGAGCGGCCACAGGATTGACCTGGTGCCACAGAGCACAAAGGCAATCGAGTTGAATCCAACCGACAAAGCCATGTTGTCTGGGGAGAGCGGTAACGCTTCTCGTATTGCGATGGAGATTATCGTAAAGTACGCCACGATACAGGGGGCAAATTGCCTGATAGATGTTTCTCAGGTTCACGTCGACGCTTGCGCATACGTTGGTGAAAGTAGTCTCCTCGTCCCTGGACGCCTGCTTTCCCTAGGCGGAAAGTTTGTCGTGCCGTCGACCTGCAACTCTCTCAATGTCGATCGACAAAGATGGAGAGAACTGGGGGCCAAGCCTGGTATTTCCAAGATATCTGACAAGATTGGAGAGACTTATCTCAAGCTGGGCGCCAAGATGAGCTTTACGTGCGCTCCGTACTTGCTCGAGACTAAGCCTGGAACTGGAGAGCAAATAGGATGGTCCGAGTCTAACGCCGTAGTGTTCGCAAACAGTGTGCTAGGAGCACGCACGCAGAAGTATCCTGACTACATGGATGTTTTCATTGCATTGACTGGAAGAGCCCCGTATGCCGGATGTCATACACCAGAAGGTAGGAAGCCGGAGATCATAATCAAGGTCCCCCAATTTGACGCATTTGATGCGTCGCTCTTTGCTCTTGTTGGCTACAGCATTGGGCATGTAGTTGCCGCTAAGATTCCCTTCGTCATTGGTATGGGGACAACACAACCTACCAAATCAGACCTGAAAGCCTTTGGGGCAGGCTTTGCAACAACTTCATCTGCTCCCATGTTTCACATCAGCAGCATCACGCCAGAGGCTGCAAGTTTCGAAAACACACTCGAGGGTTTGGAAACTATCGAGTTGACAGCCTCCGAACTTCGACTGAGTTGGAGACAGCTCAATACGGCTACGGACTCCTCTGTCGACATCGTGTCTTTAGGAAATCCGCACTTTTCCTTGGAAGAATTCTCTCAACTTGCCGAAGAGTGTCGCGGCAGAAAGAAGGCACCCGATGTCGAAGTGATGATCACCACCGGTCGCAACACCTACAAAGAGGCCCTGGATCTCGGCTATCTAGACGTCATCGAGAGCTTCGGTGCCCGGTTGATAACGGATACGTGTTGGTGCATGATAGAAGAGCCGGTAGTTCCTCTGAAGGCAAGGAATTCTATGACGAACTCAGCTAAATATGCTCACTACGGTCCTGGGATTGTCGGCAAGAAGTTTCACTTTGGAGACATTATCGCGTGTATCAATGCGGCGCGTAGAGGTCGTAGACAAGAAGACGAGATCAGCCCCAGGTGGCTTTTCCGATGATCCATAGACGGTAGGACATAATAGACAGTACCTTGCACCCAAGAAGTCGAGCAAGATACATGTATACGTGGTAACTAAAAGTTTAAAGGAAAGAGGGGGCATATCCCATCAACTGCGGAATAGCGCCAGCACATATACACGTACTTCTATGAGGGTAAGAGCCAATTATACGTTGATCCGTCCTTATTTCCCTTATTTCCTTCAATCCAAAAAATCGTATTAGAGCAGAGTTGAAAAAAACTGGAGAATATATGTACTGACGCCATTCCACGGTTGATGGGATGGTATCATGTTGAGCACAAGCTTACGTCGAGGTTGAACACCTGCAACCTGAGCACTTCCCGTTGAAGAAGTGGATTAATTGAGATCTTGTCCCTTGGTGAAAGATTCTTTAGAGCGCCGGTTGGATTCGCTTTTGAACCCCCATGCACCGACTGCCAAGAGCGTCATACCCGGGCAGGGCACTCGAAGAAGTAAATCATCGTTGTCTGCATGCATTTCAAAGACTGAATAACTAGACGCTGCTCTGCCACCGCGCAACAAGGTCGGCCGCGGGCGCAACGAGGTCAGTGGTTTTGATGTCAAGGAATTGTCGTACCATAAGATTCAAAAAGGGAATTCGGGGTTTGATGTGTTGCGAGAGCGACGGAGGCTCGGAAATAACGTATTCGCTTACGAGTTGGACAACTCCACTGTGGCATGTGATCCGACGCAGCATTCTTCCTACAAGGATGATGAGGAGTGATTTTGAGGCAGACTTCAATCATCTTCAGTCAACTGTATCCATCTCACGTAGCTACGAATACAAAATACTCGATTTACGAATGCCCGTTTTCCAGTCGAGGCAGACGCTCCATTTGGGGCTTACAACCACCATGTCTGCATCCGTCATTTCGCCCTCCTTGGCTTTTCAGGCACCCGAGTTTCAGCTCAACATTATCGGTCTTGGCTGTGTTGTCAGATTGTATATGGGTTCGATCCTCCAAAATTCTGCGCCTTGCCACACCCGCGACTGACAGCCGCCGTCTTCCTTCAGCTTTCGCCAATTCGAGCCCGATGAAGTCCTGAAGGATCCTCGAAGGACCGGAACCACGCGATGGCATGGATCTGTTTCCGGGAAGAAGGAATCAACAAAAGAGTCCAGCCCCTGTGGCCCGCCGTTGCAAACTCGCGACCTCACGAACACCATCCAATGGCCCTCTCTTTTGATTATGGTAATTCCACAACCGAAGCTAGTGGGCACCCAACGCGGAAGCCATTCGCGGGATCCCGATCCATCGGAAATGGGTCCCCCGTCAGCGCTTATCCCAACGTAGAAAAGAGCTGCCTTGAAGGGCTCCATTGAGAGCAGGGATGCCAATCCTTCAGACCCCTTACTGCCGCTTGGCGCCAGTCAACGGCAGTGAATTCCTCGAGAAGAGCTAAAATGCCGACGAGAATCCACAACCTCTGGCGCTCAACGTTGCGGCCTGTCGTGCCTGTCAATATGGGGCTCCATACAATCACAGCGATGTGTCCGGGTGTCTGGGTCTTGTCTCCAATGGTTTAAATCTTTCATCTTTGCACTCGTCTGACTGCTGATAATGATTCTGGTCCCGTTTTGCTCCGCGATTGAGCTATGAGCGCCGCATCATGACGACTCCGAACAACAACGCGTCTCCGCCAGAGTATTACAGTGGCCTTGAGGTCGACAGCCGACCGGGCCGATCGCCAGGAGTATGGGGCGATCAGGACTTGAGCAAATTCCGCGTTGCGGACCAGAATAACTTGCCTGAAGTCCACAATCAAGACGGCGATCTCCCACAAGCCGTGCACCCGTACGGCCATGATTACTCAATGCTTCAGGCCGTTCACCCGGCAGAGGGCGGCGTCTCCCCAGTCGAATATCAAAACGGTTCATACGATTCAAGCGGGTACTACGCTCCAAAAGAAGACAACCCGCCAGAAGTCGTGACAGCAGGGATCGACGAGAAGCAGCAGAAGAAGAGAGCAGGCACAATATGCGGCATGCGACGCAAGACATTCTGGATTGTTCTAGCCGTGGCGCTCATTATTGTCATTGGCGCCGCGGTAGGAGGAGGCGTCGGTGGCGCATTATCGGCAAGCAACAGCTCACAACAGTCGAGCAGCAGCTCGGGAGGATCAAGCGATAGCGGAAGTGGCAGCAGTGGTACCGGCTCGGGCAGCGGGAGCGGAAGCGGCGACAGCAGTGGTGATAGCAGCGGCGATTCCAACAACACGACGACAACGAATGAGCTGGATATCTTGCCCACCACCAGCATCGGCGCGCTCAACTTCACAGACTACTATGGCTATGTAAATCACCTCGTTTTTTACCAGCTGCGGTCCAAGAACCTCATGATGTCGTCCTACAATTCTTCCACAAAAGTGTGGAGCTCAACAATTACCAACAGGGAGAGCACGATTAAGGAGGGCACTCCCATCTCCAACAGCTTATTCTGGCATAGCGATAAGGTGAGCTACTGTCACTTCATTAGCTGGACAAACATTCGTGATCAGTGCTGATACTATTGATCAGGTCCGCGATGTCCGTATCTACTACCTCAACGATGCGAACCAGGTCGCAGGCATAATCAACGCGAACCCAGTTTACGGCTCGACTTGGGACAAATCCGGCGTCTCGAACACCTTTACCGCAAATGCGAAGTCAAACCTGCTGTCCAATGGCATTTACACCCCCGACTCATACCTATCGAACCTTGTTTTATACCAGGACACCGGGAATACCATCCGCGTTCTTCGCCGAACAGGCAATGGAGCGACCGATTGGGCCGCCGTGGGGATTTCGACCGACTTTGGAAAACCTGCAGAGGGCACCGGGATGTCTTTGATTCCCATCTATACCAACGCGACCACGAAGAGAATGGCTATGTTTTATACCTCTGAGATGGGCTCACTCATTCACCTCACCCTCGTCAACGACAACGACTGGACCAACAGCACCTTACCAACGACGCTCGAAACGAACGCCACTATTGCGGCCTTTTCCAGTGGGTACGAAAGCAACAACAACCTAGTCATGCACGTACTAGCATCACAGACAGACAAAGCGCCTGTGTTGATAACTTACGCCGAAGGGGAATGGACGAACGTTGGTGAAATTTCCACCATGTCCGGCGAGGATAGGCCTTTCAAAGTTGCTGCCAATTCAGCTGGGAGAGTCTATGGTCTCGTCCAGCGAAACGCTACCAAGGTTGAGATTGTCGAGTGGGAGTGGATTGGTGGTACAACATATAATAAGATTGGTGTGATAGATACCGTCTCATGATCGGAGGGGAGGTCCTACTTGGGTGAATACAAGGTGATCTGGCTCTCGTGGTCCCTCGAGAGCGACAATAATAAATACAAGAAACAGAATAAAAACAAGATCAAAACATACTGTCCCCCTCCCCCCCCCCCTCCCAATCGCTCAAATATATGCGTTCACCACTGAGGCTCGGTTTTGATGTTGATCCCCAAATTCCAGCTGGCGATGAGACTCTGGAAGTCAAAGCCCGAAAGCTCTGGTTCAATCTTGATCATCGGAGGACAGAAGTCATTATGTTGTTGCAGTGGCAGCTTCTCAATGTCAGTCTTGTTCAATTCCCGTATCGACCCGTCTATGTGGATCTTTCACAGCAATCATACCATCCCTAAGTCTCTCTGCTGAGCAAAGTGCGAGCCGCAATCATCCTGCAAAACGCCCGGGCTTCGGCCCATGCTATCTTCCCTTGCACGGCTAGGGTAATCCCTTACGGCCGGGGTCGTGGCGGCGGGAAGCGGGTCAGCCCGTGAAGCACGGGCTGCCTTGCGAGCCTTGGACCGGGCAGCAGCGGCGGCAACCCGTGCTCTGTGCTCAGCCTTAACTTTGGCGACGAACTGTGGTATCGGGTGGGGGCATCGGTCCTCATAAACATGCTGATGAATGTCAACTTTGTCAGTCCAGTGTTCTTGAAGCTTGCCTTTGAAAAGAGTGGAGGGAAACAAGTTCGTAGACTCACGCGGTGCATGCTTCCTATCTTGGTGAACCCTTTGAAGCAGCCAGGGCAGATGGCTTCAATCATCTTGGGAACACGGGGCATGGTGAAGCGGGTAACTGGCATCTGGGCAGTGTTCCTAGACGCCAGCTGGTTGTGTTCGCTGAGCATGGTGACAGGAGATTAGACGATACGATAAAGAACAGGGCAGAAGTTCGTCAGGTGATTAATGATTGATGATTGACCGCGAATATAACCTGGGGTTACCCTCCCTTTTGTCTTGCTCACCGCGGCTGTGAGTATCGTGTCTGGTCAAAGACCTGTTCATTGAACAGCGGCGATGGCTTCTCAAAGAGCTTCCAACTTGGTCCATAAGTATTCGACAGGGGTCGATGAAGTTGGGATGAGAATGTCGCAGCAGTTGAGTGATTAACAAGGACGACCTGCCATACTAGCATGGCGCGGCAAGCGCGCTATCCATCGTCTAAGTAGAGCGCTTATTGCTTCTTTTTGCGGGCTCATGGTGTAAGTCTTTCAGTCTGGGACTCGGGGGCCAGGTTCATCTCTTTGTTGGTAGTGGACTATTACAGTCAACATTGCAACCAACAGTGATGTAGGTCTCCGTCTCCGGGGCCGAGTCTGGAGGCATGGGCTAATGGAGGGTATGATCTTGGAGCTTTCGTCAATGTGCGGAGTTCCTGTCACCAGTTTGGAGGAGGATGAAAGAAATGAAGTCTTACCTTGTCATGCCTGGAGCTCCGTCGATCGGCGATCCCTTATCGTCATAGACTGAAGTTTTATTGTGAAGGTGATGTTTGGGGCCTTTGGGCTAGAATGAGCCACACCAGGCAAGGTCAATTTGATAGCATTCTCCACTGCCAAACAAGTTCATCATGTCATCGGCGGTAGTGAACAGAACAGTCTCTTTGTGTGCCAGCTCCCAGGCGGTTACTCGGTCAATCGGCAGGTATCCAACAGACATGGGTCATCCGTAGCGAAACGGCGAAGTGCCTTCGCCAGGGA